AATGTACTTGAGAGTATTATCAGAGATGCCGCGATGGAACATCTACTACGAAACAACCTTGTAAAAGATTGCCAACACGGTTTTATGCCGGGGCGCTCTTGCTTAACACAATTGCTCAAGGTATTGGATATTTGGACCCATATTCTGGAACGGGGTGGTAATATCGACAATATTTACCTAGATTTTGCCAAGGCTTTCGACAGTGTACCCCACGAAAGGCTGAAAATCAAACTGGAAGGGTACGGAATTCGGGGAAATGTCCTAGCGTGGATAGAAGACTTTCTACATGACCGCAAGCAGTGTGTGGTGATTAATGGCACGAAATCGTCATCTGTACCTGTAACAAGTGGGGTACCACAGGGCAGTGTATTGGGCCCGCTGTTGTTTGTTTGTTTCATAAATGACATGCCTGACGTTGTACACTCCTCCATACAAATGTTTGCCGATGATGGCAAGTTATTTCGGGAAATTAAGAACCAAGCGGACTGTGAAGAGCTGCAGAAGGACCTCTGTGGGCTCCAGGAATGGTCGAAGAAATGGCTGCTGAGATTCAATGTCACGAAGTGTAAGAGGATGCACCTGGGGCGTACCAACGGTAAGGAGGCGTATCATATGTCCCAATGGGATGAAGAAAATGCACTAGTTGAGACTGTGTGTGAGAAGGACCTAGGTGTGTATGTTGACAATGAGCTGAAATTCTCGGGCCATTGTGAGAAGAAGGTAAATCAGGTAAATAAATTGTTGGGTCTTATAAGAAGGTCGTTCAGATATCTAGACGGTCCGTCCCTCGTAACGATCTTCAGGAGTGAAGTGCTTCCCCATCTGGAGTACTGTCACCCCATCTGGTCCCCGAGATATGCTAGGGACTGTCAGTTGGTTGAAAATGTTCAAAGGAGGGCCACCAGACTGGTGCCTGCACTTCGGCACCTCAGCTACCCTGAGAGATTGGGCGCCTGAACTTGCCTAGCTTATACTACAGACGGGGAAGGGGGGACCTAGTTGAGGTGTATAAGCATCTCAGGGGCACTACTCAGTTGAGTGTCCTTACTTGGAGCTGGCGGACGCTCGCCCCACAAGGGGTCACAGCTCAAGATTGAAGAAGCCGCAAGTCCAGAAAACCGTGAGGGCAAACTTTTTCGGAGTGAGGGTTGTAAACTCTTGGAACAATCTACCAGAGAGTGTTGTGACGGCACCGAGTGTGAGCTCTTTCAAGAGAAGACTTGACCAACACTGGAGCGGGTTCAGGTACATTCAGGAGCCGGTGCATGCCCAGTATTTGCCAACAGTGCGTGACAGAGACGTGACCGATCGCCCGGGCGGCTAGCGAGCCGATCTTTTGGTGAAGAATATAAATGAAAAGAGACGTGACCGATCGCCCAAGCGGCTAACAAGCCGATCAGTGGCGAGGATAAAAAAAAAAAAAAGAAAAAAAACACGTACCCTCTAGCCCTGTTCAAGGAGAGGACTGGGAGAAGCTGTTTGGTGCTGCAGACGATGACAAGGAAAATGATTTTGATGGATTTTAATGAAAATATTCAGAAATATGGTATCGTAGTATTTATTCAAGTCAATTAGGATAGAATATTATTGTAATACAACAGTTTTTTAACTGAAAACCATTCGAAAAGCGATTACGGTAACATCTTTTGAACGAAAGAAAGCGAAAGTCATTGTTTTCGTCACGATTTTATCCCACTTTCCACTGTAATACGTACGTCATTTCAGCAAAAATATTACATTTCCGTGAATGCATTATATCAAGCACAGTATGAATAGAATACCATTGTAATATAACAATATTTTAACCAAAAACTATTAAAAAAACGAGTAACTTCTCTTGAACATCGGAAGGTTAGGTAAAATCTTTTGTTTTCGTCATGTATTTTATCCTATTTTACATTAAAATACATCACGTTTCAGCAAAACTACTATTTATTTCTGAGAATATATTCATTCAGGCACAGTTAAGGTAAAATATACATGTGATGTAACAGTTTTTCAACTGAAAACGATTCGAAAAACACGTGAACCGTCTAGCCAGGGGGGAATTTCCCCCCTCAGGTTTTCAGGGGGGAAACTGATACTAATATGGAAAAAATAAAGGATTTTCAGTATTATATGCATATTATTTGGAATGCACTTTTTGAGGCAGACAATCTTGGAAAGGAGGAGGGAATGACATTCTGACATGGTGAAAGGGGTGCATGGGGCAAACAAGGTTGAGAACCACTGGTCTAGCTGATACAATCAACAGCTGGTGGTGCGTGATGCGTCATGCGTCGTTGTAAACAAAAGGAGGTTGAAGTAGATTACCAGGTATTATATTAAGTGTGAAATATCGAAAAGGTTTTTATTACCGGTATTTTTTGTAGATCAATGAGAACTGTGATACCGTATATGATATGATAAGTTAGCCTGTGCTAAGAACTTCAACATAGACTACTGAAAGCACGTTGTAAGGTAATTTAGCCTATTGTAAGTTGGTGAGCTTCATTTGCTGAAGGAACTGCACAACTTTTCATTACTAATTGGTACATATTTTACGTTTCCATTGTTTACTGGCAGTAAATGGTAAATATTTTTCATGTCTGAAGCTAAAAGTTGCTCCTCGCCCTTCCCATCATGCACGGGTTCATCCTAACAAAGCTATTCCGCATGTATAGGACGACCCCCAATTTTTTGCCTAAAAATTTGGTCTTAAAAACTCGAACTATAAATGAGTATAAAACACCACAAAGTACCCACAAAACATCATAAAAAACACCATAAAACACCACAAAATAATCATAAAACCACAAATAATCACAAAACACCACAAATAAACCATAAAACAGAAAATAACCATAAAACACCACAACATTACCACAAAACATCACAAAAGAAACATAAAACACCACAAATAACCATAAAACACCACAAATAACCATAAAACACCACAAATAGCCATAAAACACCACAAAAAACCGCAAAACACCACAAAATATCCATAAAACACCACAAATAACAATAAAACATCACAAAACACCACAAAATAACCATAAAATAACCATAAAACACCACAACATAATGACAAAACATCACAAAATAACCATTAAACACCACAAATAACCAGAAAATAACCACAAAACATCATAAACCACCATAAAAAACATAAAATAACCATAAAACACCACAAATAATAAAACAGCACACAACCATAAAAAACCAGAAAATAACCGTAAACCACCATAAAACACCACAAAATAACAATAAAACACCAAAAATAACCAGAAAACACTACAAAATAACCATAAAACAGCACAAAATAACCACAAAATATTACAAAAAACATAAAACACCACAAAATAACTAAAAAATAACCATAAAACACCACAAAATAACCAAAAAACATTATAAAACACCATAAGACACCACAAAATAAACATAAAACACCACAAATAACAATAAAACACCACAAAAAACCATAAAACAACACAAAATAACCATAAAACACCATAAAAAACCCCACAAAACAACCATAAAAACCTAAAATAACCATAAAACACCATAAAATAACCACAAAACATCATAAAACACCATAAAACACCACAAAATAACAATAAAACACAACAAATAACCATACAACACCACAAATAACCATAAAACACCAGGAAATAACCCTAAAACACCACAAAATAAAAATAAAACCCCACTAAATGAACATAAAACGCCACAAATAATCATACAACACTACATATAACCATAAAACACTACAAAATAACCATAAAACACCACAAATAACTATAAAACACCACAAGTAACCATAAGACACCAGAAAATAACAATAAAACCCCGCAAAATATCCATGAAACACCACAAAACAACCATAAAACACCACAAATAACCATAAAACACCACAAATAACCATAAAACACCAGAAAATAACCATAAAACACCACACATTACTATAAAACACCACAAATAACCATAAAACACCACAAATAACCATAAAACACCAGAAATTAACCATAAAACACCAGAAAATAACCACAAAACACCAGAAAATAACCATAAAATGCCACAAAATAACCATAATACACCACAAATAACCGTAAAACACCACAAATAACCATAAAACATCACAAAACACCACAAAATAACCATAAAATAACCATTAAACACCATAAAATAACCCTAAAACACCACAAATAACCATAAAGCACCACAAAACAACCATAAAACACCAGGAAATAACCATAAAAAACCACAAAATAACCATAAAACACCACAAATAACGATAAAACACCACAAATAACCATAAAATACCACAAAATAACCATAAAACAGCACAAATATCCATAAAATACCACAAAATAACCATAAAACAGCACAAATATCCATAAAACACCACAAAATAACCATAAAACACCACAAATAACCATAAAACACCACAAAATAATCATAAACACCACAAAATAACCATAAAATAACCATAAAACACCACAAAATAACCATAAAATAACATTAAACACCACAAAATAACCCTAAAACACCAAAAATAACCATAAAACACCACAAAATAACCATAAAACACCAGAAAATAACCATAAAACTCCACAAAATAATCATAAACTCCACAAAATAACCATAAAATAACCATAAAACACCACAAAATAACCATAAAACATCACAAAAAACATAAATAACCATAAAACACCACAACATGAACATAAAACACCACGCAGTTACCATAAAACACCATGAAACATCACAAAATTCCATAAAACACCACAACTCACCACAAGATAACCATGAAACACCATAAAACACCCCACAATTACCATAAAATACCATGAAACATCACAAAACACCATAAAACACCACAAAAACAGCATAAGCACCACAAAACACCAAAATACACCACAAAACACCATAAAACACCACAAAATAACCATAAAACACCACAAAACACCATAAAACACGAAAATACATCACAAAACACCATTCTCAAACTGACTCACCATATCATTTCTCCAATCAACCATATTGTCTTGAAGCTTCCTGCCATGGTCTATATAGTGAGCTAATTGGTCGTTTAAGTCGACCCACCACTGAGACACAACTTTGCTCTCACTATATGTCTCAGCCACGTCCTGTAGAACATCATGGTCGTGAAGAACAAGTAGAACAGTTATTTTTGGTATTGTGATGTAAGAATGGTGGTGTTATCGACGTGAAGAACAAGTAGAACAGTTATTTTTTTATGATGTAGGAATGGTGGTGTTATGGACGTAAAGAACAAGAGGGTGGTATTATATGGTCGTGAAGAACAAATATAACAGTCACTCACCAACACCACCATCTGGATAGTGTGGATATAATCTTAAATCTATCCTTATGTGGATAAACACTGCCATTGAAATCAGTGGTGTGGATAATGGTTTAAATCCACTCTTATTATCTGGATACAGACTTCAATACTCCCGTATACTGTGGATTAAAACACTAACCTTGAGCACTGAAATGTGGATAGAAGCAATATCCGCAAAGTGGATGATCATGGACTGCGGGCGCTCTCCTGCCTCCACCAGAAAGCGATTGGCAATGATGGAAGTGGAGAGAGAATTGGCAACAGTGTTTTTGTCGGGGTAACTAGAGCTTTCCTTCGGCGCTTCCATGTATCTGTGGAGTATAAGTGGAGCATTGTACAGCCTGGAGCATTACTTGTGGAACATTGTACAGCCTGGAGCATTTCTTGTGGAGCATAACTTGTGAAGCATTTTGTGGGGTGGAGGATGAATTGTGGAGCATTTTGTGGGGTGGAGGGAGACTTGTGGAGCATAACGTGTGGAGCATTTTAATCAATAAACTATTATAAATTTTCTCTCCCTCTCTCACTCTCTCTCTCCCTCTCTCTCACCTCTGTAGCAAGACTCCCAGATCACTCTTATAGATCAACAACTCCCCCCCTCACTCTCTCACTCTCTCTTTCACTCTCTCTCACCTCTGTAGCAAGACTCCCAGATCACTCTTATAGATCAACAACTCCCCCCCTCACTCTCTCACTCTCTCTTTCACTCTCTCTCACCTCTGTAGCAAGACTCCCAGATCACTCTTATAGATCAACAACTCCCCCCCCCCTCACTCTCTCACTCTCTCTTTCACTCTCTCTCACCTCTGTAGCAAGACTCCCAGATCACTCTTATAGATCAACAGCTGATCCATGTTATGTTGATCAATGTAATCACCAACCACCTGTTCAACATCTCCTCTGATCAAGTCGAAGTAATCACTGTCCTCATCCGGGGTCGCCGGGATGAGTATTTTGACGATCTTGCTGAATATCTGTAGTGAGAGAGAGTGAGTGAGCGAAGGGAGAGAGAGAGAGAGGGTGGGAGGGGTCAGTGAGCGAGAGAATGGATGAGAGAGAGAGAGATCCATATTAAACAGATAATTAAAATATTTCTTAAAAATAACTTGACAACAGGGATCCATTGTTCTCCATATACAGTATACATAAAATTGGGTAAGGTTAATATTTAGAGAAGTTATCTTGTGGACGAACAGACAGACAGACATATATACAGACAGACAGACATACAGGCAGTAATACTCACTTCCAATGTGGTCATTAGTCCTCTCAGATAATAAGCAGAAGCCAAACCAATGGTCGTTTCTGTTAAATAATAATAATAATAATAATAATAGTAATAGTAATAGTAATAGTAATAGTAATAATAATAATAATAATAATAATAATAATAATAATAATAATAGTAAAAATAATAATAATAATAGTAAAAATAATAATAATAATAATAGTAAAAATAATAATAATAATAGTAAAAATAATAATAATAATAGTAAAAATAATAATAATAATAGTAAAAATAATAATAATAATAATAATAATAATAATAATATAGTAATAATAATAATAATAATAATAATAATGACAATGATAATAATAATAGTAGAAATAGTAATAATAATAATAATAGTAATAATAATAATAATAATAGTAATAATAATAATAATAATAATAATAATAATAATAATAGTAAAAATAATAATAATAATAATAATAATAATAATAATAATAATAGTAAAAATAATAATAATAATAATAATAATAATAATATAGTAATAATAATAATAATAATAATAATAATAATGACAATGATAATAATAATAGTAGAAATAGTAATAATAATAATAATAATAATAGTAGTAATAATAATAATAATAATAATAATAATAATAATAATAATAATAATAGAGTAATTATAATAATAACTCACCCTTGCCATCAATAATAATATCATTCTGTTGGTGCTGGGAGGTGCCAAGTGCCTGCTGGGAGTGAGCTAGGAGGAGTCCCAGCATCAAGAGAAAGAGACCTGTCTTCATTATGGTGTTGCAGTATATCGACTGAGAGAGAAAGATTCAGGTCGTCTGTGTTTCTTGGGGCAAATGGGGGCCTCATAGGGGGCAAATCGATACAAAGAGGTAGGTTAGGGTACAAGGGGGGTGAGGGTAGTAACAGTTTAATTAAGAGGTAAAAATATACTCATTCTCACAGTGGAAACAAAAAAGTACTTCACATCTGACAAGGCTAAAGTGGTGCCATTGTACCTTCATTTATTTATTATTATATAATATATTCATTTATAATAAAGTTTATATGATAGAAAATAATTGAAAACGTATCATTATTTGGGATTGAATTTGTTTTAAAGATAAGTTTTTTTAATATGAAAATAAGTAATATATAGGATTAGTTGCCAATTCGTCATTACAACACAATAAAACACTCCCTGCTAAACTCGGGGACACCAATTAGTTGAAAATATGATAAAAATAATAAACAATAACAATAAATTACCCCAAAACAAATATAAACGAAAACAACTACAATAAATAAAAATTTATTAATACCGAGTTAAGAAAAACGTAATTATAATATTAACAACGAAATTATATTAAAACGCAGTAGACTTTCTTTGATAAGCGTGAGGGCAACAGGTGTTGGTGTGGGAAATATTCACACGAGTGAGGCTCCTATCTTTGTTTACTCAAGGTTGTTGGTTCATGTGAGAAGAGGGAGAGAGGATATTAAGGATATATATATATATATATATATATATATATATATATATATATATATATATATATATATCCTTTATATATATGTATATATATATATATATATATATATATATATATATATATATATATATATATATATATATATATCCTTATATATATATATATATATATATATATATATATATATATATATATATATATATATATATATATATATATATATATATATATATATATATATGCTGATAACCACAAGGAAAGAAGAAAACACGAAGTTCCCAAGCGCTTTCGTGTAATTCACATCTTCAGGGATGAGTACAGACTAAGGAGAAGTACAGTATTTAATGAGAGTAGCTTTGCCTCTCAATAGAGACTTCAGTTTTTTGTTGAACTGGGTGTTAGCTGTATTGAGAGGATTATTTATGAGCTAAGAATATGTTGCAGCATCACATTCCTTTACAACTTTACAACTAAAAACCTGGAGCGTCAATGTGGCATTTAAAAACTCATGCACTGTTAAACAAATGTTAATCAAGAACTCCCCCAACAATATAGGTGGCTGCACTTATAAGGTTCCTTGCAAGGAATGTAATATGTTTTACTTAGGCCAGACAGGTAAAGATCTTGTAACTAGATTTAATCAACATAAATGTACTGTTAGGACAGGCCAGGAATCCAATGCTCTGTTTGTTCATTTGAGGAATAATAAGCATTGCATTGACTGGGATAATGCCTCCTCAATATTACCTTGTAATTCAATTGACAGTAGGAACATTATAGAATCTAGTCTCATTAAACATACCGAATCCGTCAACATGAATTTGAGTAATGGTATGTACAAACTGGATAATTTCGTAATTAAGAAGATTTGTAACTAGGTGAGAAGGTTGGGTCAGCTTACCCTCTGACCTGACTACCGACTGCTGCGGTGCTTTTTGAAGATTAGTAGGGTCATTACCTAAGACCTGACCATTGTAGACTTGATCTCACCCTCCTCTGTATATATACACCTTGTTTTGTACTTCTCCTTAGTCTGTACTCTCCCCTGAAGATGTGAATTACACGAAAGCGCTTGGGAACTTCGTGTTTTCTTTCCTTGTGGTTATCAGCATATACCACAGCGCACCCACAGTGATTTACTTGCATATATATATATATATATATATATATATATATATATATATATATATATATATATATATATATATATATATATATATATATATATATATATATATATATATATATATATATATATTCAGAAAATTCAGTGTAATTTCAAACGCCGCGCCATTGGCAATACTGAGTTCAAGGTCGTCTGAGGGAAGACAACGCTCCCGTACGTAGTGAGAATTTCTGGAACTAGGCCTATACGATATTAAATGTAATTTACCGAATTAATATGGATGCGAATTATGAAATGAAATATCAGTAAGTAAATTAAAAATAATTTTAGATTGGTTCTCAGTGTAAAAATGTTACGCGTGTCCCAACGAAGTTATTAGTTATGCGGGAAAATATGTCTCGTAGGCCTAGGCTTGGGAAAGCAAGAGCGTGGCTGTTTCTCAGTCACGCGAAAGCGATTGGACAGACAGGACGTCCCTGGGCGTCCGTCCACAAAACGGTTACGTGGTCTAGTCACCTGTGTTGCGCTATTGCAGTATAACAAGTAAGTCTCATTCGATCTCAGACAGGGTTTTAGATAGGGTAGTGATAAAGTTAACAAGAGCTAACAGTGAGTCTATTTCAGGGTTTCCGTCAGAGCCCACTTGACTGCGAGAATGATGACTGCGAAAGATTGACTGCCGCGTGAGACTGCCGTTGATGATTGATGATTAGCGATTGTCGCAGTTGGAACGATCAGTGCAGGCTTGTCACTGGTCAGCGGGGTTAGCCAGAGATCTCCGAAGTGAAACCAGCTGTCTGGGTACACAACTGACGATCGTCTGGGGTCACCAGATCTCTTCTACCTCGGCTCGCAATATCACATATCTTCAAGCAGTTAGTGAAAACCTTTTACTACGAGAAGCTAAAGCATCTCTCCACTGAACAAGGGCTGCTTGGTTCACTCTCTTCCCGCCCATGGATGCACTGATAGTACACTGAGTAAATTAATGGTCACACACTGAGACCAGGAGTCTAGGGGATACCTAGAGAAACATTTTATATCCCTTATTATGGGTGTATGTTGAGTTGTGTGAAGCATGGTTCACGGGTATTGGTGGACCCAGTAACTTCTTAATATGAGTGATAATATTTTTGTGTGTAGTTAATATTTCTTAAATAATTTTGATAGTATTGTTTTTTAATGTTGTGTCACCAATTGATGCCAGAGAATGAAGGAACTTTTTCAGATGAGTTTTCCCCCCTATGTTGCAAGTGATACTGTGATTAGTTCCTTTAATGCATTAAATATTTCTTTATAATTTCAATCTCAGGTATAACCTTTGTTCCCCAGAGTAGTGTTTGAGTTAGGTTAGGAGGTGTGCATTTGTTGGTGTAATATTATTTTATTGAGTGCCCTTTAGGCCTATTCATGGTGGATTTAATAATTTCTTATTTTATTACCATTTTCTCAGTGGTTGATATTATTTTGTTGAAAGCCCTTAAGGCCTGTTTCATGTGTGCAAGCAACACTTCTTAATACTTTGAATTTATTGTTGTCTAATGAGGCATTGTCTGAGTTTCTAATAATTTCAATATCATGTATAACTTTTATTCCCCAGAGTAGTGTTTTAAGTTCAGGGTAAGAGGTGCGCATATGTTGGTGTACCATTATTTGATTGTGTCTGTAGTGTTGGAGGGAATATAAGTGTCTAAATTTTACAGGGTGTCTCATTCATCCCAATCACAGATGCTATCCTTCCACGGGTCACGGAGAATTCATTTTGCTAGGAAATTTAAGTGTTCTTGTGCTGGTTCGGGTTTTTTCTCATAGGGGCGCTTCCACTGCAATTTCCATCTGATAATTAATAAACCCCAAGTCAAGTGAGAAATTAATGTCCAGTAATTCCGACCGGTTACAAATGGTAGCAGAGCATAGTTTTTAATGTCGTGACTGATAGTTCTTTGGTTGGGATAATGAACGCCATCATGTGTTGGTTAGTAATGGTAGGGATTGAACTCGCACTGATGCTCATTCTTGTGCCCGGATTGAGTGGGTTAGGCTTGACAGTAGAGATGTGTATGAGGAGGAAGAGAGACGGCCGCGGGACCTTGGTACAGCTGAGAGAGGAGTTCGGAGACCTAAAGAGGGATTATCAAGCACAAGTAAACAGGTTCAAGTGGGAGTTTCAGGCACACATTCAATGGTTCAGGGAGGAAACAAGGGGTGAATGTCAGGCACACGTCCAGCAGTCAAGGAAGTGCCAGGTCCAAGTGGGAAAATACAGGGGTACGTAAGTAGTTCAGAGAGGTTGATTGAGCCCTCCAGCTGAGAGACGAAGACGAAGCCGACCGATTACAGTTTAGGTGTGCATGGTAATGAGAAAATGCAGGTTGTCGAGGGTGAGTTGGAGGAGTCGTGAGTAGGGCAGAGGGGATTGGAGAGATGGTTAGGCCAGAGATGTGCCTTGAGTAGTGGTTGTTGTCATGAGCGGGATTGAGTGTACGGTTGTAATGTCCAGGGCCTCACTAATATGGACTGGTACATTGTCAGAGGACTGATCTGCCGGCATGAGGTTCGGAGACGTGGATTGAGTCGATCGTTGAAGACGTGAGAGCGTTCGTGTGGACTGAGTATTTTTTTGACACTGGTTCCTCTTAGTTCAAGGGCCAGGCAAAGGAGAGCATGTTTGTTTTGGACTGGGTATTAATTTTGACATTGGTTCTCTAATTTAAGGGCCAGGCAAAAGGGGAGCGTGTTGCTCTGGTTGGTTATGAATTGGGCTAGGCAAGAAATGGAGTTGCTGGCTGCGAGTTGGAATAGTGCAGATGTGAAGGTGGTTTCTAAGTTGTTCTCTCAGCACATGAGGACAGTGCTGTCTTTTTTTAAGGGGGGTCGAGTGTTAGCGGGAGAGAGAAGGGGAGAAGAGAAGATGGAAATGCTGCATTTAGCACGTTGCAGGTGTGAGGTGCAGTTTCTTAGAACAATTCTTTTACTGGGGTGGTATTCATGTTTTCTCAGTACATGAGGACAGTGCTGTCTTTTTTTTAGGGGGGTCGAGTGTTAACGGGAGAGAGAAGGGAAGAAGAGAAGACGGGAATGCTGCGTTTAGCACGTTACAGGGGTGAGATGCAGCATTTAGAACAAGTCTTTTCTGAGGGGGGGTCGTTGCATACTTTTTCTCAGCACATGAGGACAGTGCTGTCCTTTTTTAGGGGGGTCGATTGTAATATTCAGAAATTTCAGTGTAATTTCAAGCGCCACGCCATTGGCGATACTGAGTTCAAGGTCGTCT